CGGAGGGCCGGAGAGAGGAAATGAAATGGGAGGGGTGGGGTTCTAGTATATCAAACTGTCTTAAAGGATAGCCTTGCTTGGAGGACACTTTAGCCCCTTACAAAGGCACATTTGTTAGATTTTTAAAAATGTAAATGTTTCTACTCTCCATTCGAGATAATTTAGACACTTTAGGAGGTGGGGTTGAGAGGGATACAAAATCCCAGAAGAAAGACCGAGATAGTCCACTCCATAAAATTCTCCTCACTCGGGAATCGAAATCGAGTCCCCTTCATGCGACAGTGAAGCACTTAATCGCGACATCACAGAATCCAATTCGATCTTTACCTGAAAACGAAGATAGAAGGTTGAATCTTAGAGAATTTGGCGCTATTTTTCTCATCATTTGGACCTTTCTTGACAGTCCAGCATTTTTATCCCTGAGATGGCCTACATTGAGTCAAATGCAGCTATGTCCCCCAACAAAACAAAGAGAGAATAAGAGGCCAGCCATGTTAAACGCTTCGAGACAAACCGCTACCTCAGAAATGCAAAGTATTATCTGACATTTTTGGTTGCTTTGAGTAACTAAGACTATGAGGTCAGAAACCAAATGTCAAATGTTCTACATGCTCTATCAAAATCGTAAGATTATTCAGAATCGTTATCAAGATATTCAAAGACCTGCATTCGAAAAAGCTTGACATGATGTGAAACTCAAAATCTTTGACGCTAAATTTCTCAAAACTGGGCACTGAGCAGAAGGAACTTTGTGATTCTGAAGTAGCGAAGGTCAAATGTCGTAGAAAACAAAGTACGGTATATCATACTTCAAAACCCAGAAAAACCAGCAGCCCTGTCAAGCTTACAGTGGACACGGGCGAACGTGACCAAATTAATGGTTTTGAAACGAAATTTACCGACATCTCATGTTTTTCTCACGATAGCCATCTCATGGCAGCGTATATCATAACCACACCATTAGGCATACTCACCACAATGGAGAGAACAATGGGTCCACGCATGATCCAGAAATAACCCGGGGTTGGATGAGTATTCCAGCAGCTGAGACAAAGGAACATGAGACGGTGCCAGGTGGAAAGACACAGACAAAAATTGAAAAACAAACGTAAGACTTATCGGTAAAAGTAAATTTTTGCCCCCTATATTCGGAACTTACTTGATCTACTATTCACATCCCAGGTCTCCGCTCTCAGTTGGGAGACATTTTGGGATGCCGTGATGTCATTCGCAGAGATGTGTATAACTTATTTCAAGAAAGGGGGAGGGTAGGAGGGGGGGTTGAAATTTACTTTTACCAATTTGTCCATATACATATACGAGTAATATATAATATGTGTGTTCATTAAAGCTATAAGAATCTATTTGATTTTTTAAAAGGGAAAAAACCCTCTTCAATGTGATGAGTGCCATAATGTGTTTTCCACAAACTATCAAGGGACGAAATGTTTTTATAGCGTGAAACAACTAGTGCATATTTGTTATTTATACTTAAAGTAGCATACTTATGTGTGGGTAATTGACGGTAAATTTGTAAAAGACATCTTCCAAACAGGGATGCTGTAGGCAGTTTGAGGGAGCCGTTGGTAGTAATTATGTCTTGTCATTCTGATCAAAGCTGTGGAGATGATATCCTTCTTATACAAAGGTCACATCACAAACGACGAAGTCAAACAGCGGATCAAAAATGAAATTGGACTATATGCTGACCTCATCACCCTGGCCAGGAAATACAAACTGCATTGGTATGGACTCATCACCCGTTCATCCGGCCTTGCCAAGATGATCCTGCAAAGCAGCATCCAGGGAAAAAGGAGCAGAGGCAGACCGAAGAAGAGTTGGGAGGACAACATCAAGGAATAGACTGACTGGCCTGGAACTCAAAGACACGCTCAAAGAAAAGCTAAAGACCGGAAGGAGTGGAAGAAGCCGGGGGGG